GACCAATTTCATAGAGATTGAGCTCCCTACTTTTTAGCTCACCGGTCACTTCCGTTGAGTTTTCAAGGCCCATTAACCTTAGTTCAGTTCATGCATGCTATGATCTTCTCACTTTATCTACCTTTCCACTGTACTCCATCTCCTAATGTTCAACTATAGCTTATTGATCAAAAAAAAAAATGTTCAACTATAGCTAACCAAGTTGAATTTACGAGCCCAAATCTTACAGAATTGAAAAACATTAGACAAACTTAAAACCAATACCTTAAATACTGAACTTAAATTTAGTATATTCTTGTTTTTTTTCTGATAGAAATTTCCAAACAAACCCTTTGTTTTGTCATTTTTTTGTTGCAATGCAAATCTTTGGAGCAAAAGTCGTACTTGGTTCAGTTTTTTTTTGTTTGTTTGTAATTATGATTTTCATTTTTACTTGATACAAAATTTATACTTTTTGTCTTTTTTACATTCGCTGAGTGTAAATTTTACATCCCAAAAGCTGATGCAAAATTTGCACCAACTTCCCCCTACCTCAGTTCTTTCTCTATTTCTCATATAAAGTGGAGATCATCTTGCATCCTAGTTACTCTAAACAGATAACCCAGCTCCTATCTCCATTCTCTTTCATAGGTTGTGTTTAGTTTGAAAGAAAAAGCAGGAAATGATAGAGAAGCCTACATGAAGCAAAAGTAAACCAAATTTTACACTCATCCCTTTTACGCTTCCATGAATCTAGACCGGTGTGAATGAAGTTTAGACTGCAACCAAATGTAGCCTTATATTCCATATAAATGTAAATGACAAAACATGCATGGACTGCCATTTGTATGTGCAGAAACTCTTGCAATTCCATTCTCCTCATTGAGAGCTAGACTAACAAAATACTCACTTTCCTAAAGTAGAATCCATCTTTACTTATCAAAAAACAAGTAGCATCCATCTTTACCATCATATGTAAATACTTGTTGAGTGCTTCCCAGACCACCAGTTACCAAACTCCCCAATACAATCATAGAACCATGTGCAGCCTACAGATTCATGAGATTTCCCCTTGAGAAACCAAATGGGCCACGTGAAAACAACTGCTGGTTGAATCCTAAGGACAGGTTTGAAATTGAAGTCGAGGTGCCATTTCCTTGATCCACAAAGTTAGTGTAAAATAAAGGGGAAACCTTCTAGATAAATCAATAAAATCTAAATGAGAAGGGAGCCTAGAATAAACATTGGCATTGACATCTGTTGTTTGATTCACAATCTGCTCATTCCCATTGTTCCCAAACTTCATTGTGTTCCTATAAGCAAAGTATTGATGTGATTGGGTTGTGATGTTTCCATGAGAAGACTTCACCCATCCAGCTAAAAGAAAAGACCTACTTGCTGTAGTAAGAAAATCTCCATTTGAACCATTGAAGTCCGAAACTAAGGTGATCACTAGAGGTTGGACATCATATTTAATCAACTTTCCTTTAGTTCCAGCACTTTGTTTATCCAACCATACGTGCAAATTTGCATCTATGTACCACACACTAAGAGCATTTGTTACACTAAACCCCAACTGATGCTGCCTTCCATCCAAAACTTTTCCTAGCAATGGAGTAATATCAATATCATATCAAGGGAGATCAAAAGAACCAATTCCAGAGATGGGTCACCGTAGCAGAGGATTGATCCCTCCAGTGTATATCACAGTAGAAGGCCAGACAGCCCCAACTACAGTATCATCAATACTGACTATAACCTCCCTAAAAGGTCCATTTCCTAGAGTCTAAGTAAGATTAATGGAAATCAATTCTTTAACTCTCCACAACCACCTTAAATTACAATTTTAACATAAACGTGCAGGGCAAGTCACCTAACATCGAACAGGTTTATATTGCAAAATTCTTCATTCTGTTTAGACGCATATGGGACATGTCCAATGCAAAAATCCACCAACAAAGCGTGTTGGATCCCCTGAACTGGTGGAGAAAGCTGAACCCTATGGACAACCACAAGCAATAAACAAATAGTTCACCAAACACCCCCCAGAAAAATCATGAAGCCTACATATATGTTGATGGCTCATACGAACCAGTAACAGGAGCAGCTGGAATAGGTTATGTTATTCTAACAAATAGTTCACCAAACCGCATCAAACGAGTGTTTCTAATATGACTGAATCATTTGCTACGCCAACTATATTTATTTTATCTTTTTTCTTTTTTTTCTTTTTTGACATGTATATATGATTCAGATCGCAGAAATTTGAAATGTAAATAGACATCAAAAAATGTTGATGATAAAGCACTAACAAATGTTAAGCCCTAACCTGGAGCCTAATGTGTCAATGGAATCCGAACAAAAAAAAAGAGCAATGGCAGTTGATTATACCTGAACACGGTGAAGAACAGCTAGTAATTAGCCTCCTACAAGAAAAAATGTCAATTAGTACTTGATGGAAGAAGAAGAAGAAGGGGAAATTCATGGAACGATGAAAAAAATAGAAGATTGAAGGAATTAAAAGGAGAAGAACTACCTGCATCGATGCTTCTCAGTCGCTTGGGGCAAAGTTCCTCTCAGTCTGTTACGGAAGTGGAGAACGAAGGATGTTTCGTCGAGTTCAAATTTTTGCTAGGTGTAGGTGAAAAGCCCGAATAGACCAAAAGCTTCGGTTGTAGCCATTTGAAAATCATTTTGGACTTTTACGGTTTTTAGGGGTTTTATCTTTTTGGTCTAATGGGCTTTCATTATCCAAATAAAAAAACGGTTTTAGATTTACCAAACAAGGCCTAAATACAAATATATAAAAAAAATGGGTAAAAGACTTAAACATTACCTTTTCTTTTCAAAAGAGACTTAAACCTCCCCTGTTAGATGAGGTAATTGGACAAACATTACCCTTCTGCAACGGGGAAAGAGATAGGAAACCAGACGAGTATGTGAAGATAATCGAACAAACCCGCAACTACAAGCAACGTTAGAGTCCCGAAGGTCTCCAAGAAAAACCCCTATGACACTCAAGTGGAAGTTGGGAGGGTGAACAGTTAGGTAGGTGTTTGGCACCCTTGCGATTTTCAAGCGAATCGATTCTCAGAAAATCGCCTAACGCTTAAGAAACGTTTCATGACCATTTCTCAGAAAATCTCATTTGGTTCTGTTTCATGCCACATCACCAAGAAAAAACGCTTTTTCTAAAAAACGCATCTGGGAGCACTCCATGTTTCTGTGTAGTATTTAATGATCCTATGCAACTCATGTGCATATGATACACAAAATTATTCTAATCCAACAGTATCAAAATACCCAGAAAATGGCGTAGTTGGTGTAGAACGGCAAGAAGAGAGAAACTGTGCTCTCTGCACCTGACCAGGAGGAGAGAGAAGATAGCAAATCGAGAATACAACGGCAAGAAGAAAAGAGCAAATCGAAACCTACGATTTCTAAAGAATAACAGCAAGGAACTGTGTTTGCCTTGCTGAAGAAAACAGCAAGAAGACCCTGAAGAAAACAGAACTCACCGGAGGTTAGAAAAAAAATGAAAAAGAAAAACGGTGAAGAAGATATTGTAGCTCTCATCGGAACCGACGACGGAGACGGGAAGAAGTAAGAACCCTCACGACTGCAAGAAGAGGAAGGGGTTAAGCTGAAATCGAATGGGTTTTTGTTGCCTTCGGGTGTATTCAACTCTCCGCTGCACATGCAAAGCACTGAATCAATTATTATCCGACGTGACAAGTTGCCACGTTAGATTACACCTGGAACCACGTCGGATTGCGTTTTTGAAGTGGTGTGAAATGTCAGAAAGGTGTTTTGGCTGACAAGGTGAAATTCGGAATTTCAAGGCAAAAATGTTTTCTGACTGTTTCTCAAAAAAGCATAGTACAAACACAGTTTTCACATCGATTCCGTTTATTTGCTGATGTGTCATTGCTGCCACCTTAGTGCAAACGAATCACTAGAAAATCACACCGGTGCCAAGCAACCACTAGATGAGGACGAGGTGAAAACACGGGAGCAAAAAGGAGGTTGGAGTGCATGCGTCTTATGCTAAATTTGGAATTAGGAGCGCTTGAGCCGAAACAGCACCAATAAACATTTATTTGCATTTGGAAACTAAGTCCGAAATAAATACTTTATTCTCATAATAATCATTTATATGAGGATCTTAAATTTTGGGCTTATTTTTAAGTGTTTATTTCCTTTTTAGCCTATTGGTGCTGTTTCCTTTTTAGCCGAAAACACGGTTCGGATGGTTAGAGAGACTGGACGGGAAGAAGGACCTCCAACTCTCGAATCTTTCCGATGCTAGTTATGGTTGATGGGAAGATGATGAAGTTTAAGGGAAAAATGCCCTTTATTGCTCTTCCTTCTTCGACTTCAATTTACCCAAAGAAGGATAAATTTCTTGCCGGTGAGTATGCTTACCGACAGATTCAAGCGATGGTCACATAGGGGAATGATACTTGAAGGGAATAAACTGCAACATTCCATTTGAACAATCTCGCAGAAAACATACAAGGAGAAAAAGGAACAAAACAGGTAAAGGTAATGTGGGTTACATTCTATTTGAATCTTCAATAAAATCAAAAAGAAAAAGAAAAAGAAAATAATAAAACTTTCTCCTATCAAATCCTTGATAGAAACACAAACCCATCTATTAACCATGCAAAAAAGGAAAGAACTTTCAAGAACATCCACACACCCTTTACCCAAATCAAAAGTTCTAGAAGAAAAAAGTGAACAAATAAACGGTAAAGAAGCAATGCCAGTATCATACACACCTTATTGAAGAAAGAAAAATCCTCTACCATCTTCAAAAAGGTGTAAAGGAAATTTGGAGTTAAGGTTCTTCTTTGTCTTCAACTCTGCTCTTCCTCATAGCTCTCTCTTCCCCTTTTCCTCTCTATTTCTCCTCTCCGCAACTCAATGTGAAGTAAAGAGATGGGAGATTTAGGAGCCTCTGTTTTGAGTTTTTACTTGTGAGAATCAACATCATTAACACTTGCACGTGCTCTCTTTTCCCATAATCAAATAGTCTATTTTATCTATTTATTCTCTTTTCAAGTCTTCGTCCTAGGTAGATGTCTTGTTCGTCCTTTTGAATCTAGTACTACTACCACCTAAAAGGCCACAGGTAGTGATGACCTGAACTGCAAAATGAACTAACACACTTGTAGAAAACGGAAAGTTGTTGGGTCGGAAGTGCATAACAGAGAATGAGAGAGAGAGACGGAGTACCAGGTAAGAGAGATAGGGGATTGTGTCTCTGGAGAACCCAAACCATCGAATCCAATGCTTCTTTTGGGCTCTCGATAGTTGTAATTTGACAATAGCTGAAGCTGTTCCCAAAGATGATGACGAGCCGATACCAATAGGCAGAATCATCTCTCCCAAACAAAAAGGGCATTTTCAAACATAAAAGGGTAATTTGGTATTTTTAAAAATTATAACGATCATGTGGTGGCACATTTGAATGGATTATCACAGAATGTGAATGTTAATGGTAAGGGAAATATTAGTCAATTGTCAAAAACAATAGGGGTATCATTAGTCAATTTTCAAATAGTAGGATACACTTAGTTAATTAACTAAACCATAAGGGTAGTTTAAGAAATTTACCCTATTTTAAAATATCTAGACTACCCCTATTTAAAATAATTGTTTTTTTCACTAAACACTCATAAGTCATAACTACTTGTGTATGAAGCATTTGTTTTTATTTTTTAAGTGCTTATTTTTCAAATAAGCACTCCCAAACTTGGCCTATCACGATGTCCAATTATTTTTATAGAGAGAGGGAGAGACTTGTACTTGACATGGAGCTTTACATCTATTGGGAGAACTTTTCTGACCAAATTGAGGAATTCATGCACGAGACATCCTTATCAAATCCTTGGTTCATGAGGGGAGTCCAGATCTCCTGTCCACATCTACCCACATAACATTGTAGCCACACATAGAGAACATCTCATCCTCCTACATAGTATTGTGCATGGAGAGATGTTCCCAATGCACAAGGGTATTGTGTTGTGGGTAGACATGGGCAGAGTTCTTGTGGGCAAGAGATCCGAAGTCTCATGAGGGATGTGAGGCTGAGGTTGGCTTTGATTGGTCAATAGGGTGGTCTATTAATGTAGATGTTGGTTGTGGGTTGGTTGAACATGAGTCGTCAATGATTTTCCCAAACCTTTGTCAAGGGCCACATGGTGAATGATTGAACCACGCTATTTGGCTTCACGACTTACCCCCTACTCTAAGGCAACCATTGCGCTTAGTTCTTCAGTGTGAGGTTAGCTTGGCAAAAGGAAGAATCCCTACTTTGAAGAGGTTAAGGTGGGGTTAAAGTCTAAAAAGTTAAAAAGACATTAAAAGGGTGAAATATGAAAATAGGCATAGAAGTTTTTTTTACTCTTTAGAGGCTCTGAATAGACAAGGTTGTTTATGTTGGATCAAACCTTCAACATCTGAGATTCCTTGGTTTTACTACTTTACCCCTACAAAGGACTATTTGGTAATTTTAAGTTCAATTTGCACTATTTAATATAAAATAGTTTATCAAATTCAAAATAATATTTAATAATTAATAAAAATAAAATAATTAACAATTAATAAATAAACATAAATAAAAAACAATAACTAACAAAAATATTGATATAATTAACACTAATAAATATTAAATTAATTAATAAAAATTAATGAAATTAATATTTAATAATTATAAATTAAACAAATAATTAACAACTAATAAAAATATTAAAATAAATAACACTTATTAATAATTAATAGTGTCAATAATTAATAACTAATAACTAATATTAAAATAATTAATAAAAATTAATAAAATCAATAATTAATTAATAATTCAAACAAATAAAAATTACTAATACATAATAAAAAATATTAAAATAATCAATAGTAATAAAATAAAATGATTAATAATTAATACAAAAAATCATAAAAAATAAAAAAATAAATTATTCAATTCAAAATAATATTGCTTAAAAATAAAAAATAACTTATTCAATTCAGTCAATTGATTAAAATAAGAATAAAATCGAAAATATGTATACTTTCTAAGAATTCCACTTGAAAATTTTAAATATTGAAAATAAATTATTAGAAAATAAAATAATGTTGAAAATAGAAGTAAATTCAACGAATCCATGATAATAATTAGCAAAATAATATCTTAAAAAGTTTTAGAAATTCATATCATTCTAAAGTAAAGTACCTACACATCCAATGATTATAATATGGTTGTCCATAAGTTTACACATATTAAAGTAATTGCCATATTCTACAAGTTTGTATGTCGTACATATAATTATCCTGACCAAATGTCACATGTTCATATGTTTCACAACTACCCTATATAATTGCTACAACAATAATAAACAAAAAGGCGACGATAAATAACAATTTAGTTGACATTGCATATAAGAGATGCGCGCAACATCCAAGTGCCATTTCTTCCTTGAGCGGTTGCAATGTTCGGGGTTTCTACAACTATGAAGTGGGTTGATTGGACTCCCTAAGATCTATCACTAGGTCGGCAATTAGTTCATTAGTCCAACAAAAATAGTGTATATGTTTTTCCCGTAGTGAGCAACGCAAAAAAACTCTTTCTTGATTTTCATCTATTTTAGCCTTGTAAAGTTTCATATAGTCATCCCCGCATACACACATGATTGGAGAATGCTTAACAACCATTTTTCCTTACATAAAAAATTTGTTCACATACATAACCATAACAATACACTGCAAATGAATAAGCAATTGTAATAATTATTGTGCAATTTTCTCTCACAATGAGGCTATAAACTGTGCATCAACTTGCCCATGAGGTGTCCCTCAATTGTCATGCTATTCTATCTCTACTTTCTCTACATTTTTCATTAGAAATTTGCATATTAGGTGTCCCTCAATAGTTGATTCCCTTCTCAGATAGTTGTAGATAGCGAAGCATGCAATGACAATGTCTTGTTGGACACGAAGAGGTGTCATCTATTTAAGAATTAGAAATCGAGCTTTTTGGACAATAAACAATCTTTCAATTATATTTCTTAGCTTTGCAAAGTTTTTGTCATGGTTGTGTGCAACCTCATGTAAAACCCTGGCGTCATGTAATGTTCCTTCCCAATCGGCATAAAAATATGTAAACACTATATTAAAATCACAAACAATTAGCACATTTTGGAAACATTCTTTCTCTCATCTTCCTCGATATGCTTTTTGTTTCTCCGAGGGTACTACAATATGAACAAGTGTTTCATCTAAATTATCAACACCACTCTTCAACAACAAATAAATAAAACTCATTTTGAGCTAAACCCCTATCCTAATCAAAATTATGAAACCTATGTGACATTGTCAATTATTTACCTTGAATACTTGTTATTGTCGTTTGTGGTGCCTTGGGATGTTTGGGTTTGGGTCAAATGTAGTTGGGTGGATAATCTATTATGCAAATTCCATCATAGCAGTTAATACTTGATGGAAGTATCTATGCAATGTTTGATTGGAGTGCCGGAATTGTCTATTCATAATAGGGGACCTTTCATTATGGATTAAAAACAAAAAAAGCGTAGTCATCTTCTCCTCTACTGATATGTATCAACTATCATGCAACCATCCGCAATTTCAAAAATTGCAACATATCCATACATATGCGTCAACAGACATCCTCATCACCTCGATGGTTTGTTTATCATTTCCATTTAATAGCTATTGTGTATAGATATAATCGAGTAGTGTAAATTTACAATCTAACATCCTTGGAATACGTCTCCGTAATTTCTTTTTATATACCAATATAGGATGATAATCATACCCAAACTATTTATCATAGGTATCAACATATTTATTGGGTACATGGTGGTTTACATTCTACATTGAGATTAATCTAAAAGCAAATCTTCAAGCATTTCGAAGAGAAATACCAAAATATCAATTATATCGAATCATCGAGTGCCACAAAATAATATCATATATAGCATGTCCAAAATATCAGAAAAACCCAAAAAGCATATTGCATATGTCCAACTATATAAAGTCATAGAAGCAAACATATCATCCCAAACAAATTAAAAAAAGAGTTCCACCCATTTGTTCAACAAAAACATCAAGTCCAAATACAATTGAATCCGACAGACGACTCTCATGAGAGGCTCATCCACTTACCATATTGTGATATCCACATTTTCATTACCTCCTTGTCAAATGTGTCACAAGTTCCACACCAACGAATTTACTCCTTAACTTTCGAGTTTTCCATGAAGATAATTGAAGCCTTGTAGTATTGAGGAGTTGTGGTTGTTCATCCAATTTCATTTTTTGTTTACAATCTTCTACAGTCGCCATCCTCAACAATCAGAATGTTAAGAAGCTTATCTATCTTAATATCAATCTCACTAATGCCCCTATTTTGCCTCTTAGAGGGTTGTTCACTTAGACCTATAAACTCTTCAAATGTCTATTGTATTTGAGTTCAAGGCCTTGTAAGAGGTGGTCCCGACCTATTCGCCAACGAAGTCCAGCCAACTTCTCCTATTGAACAGGCTCCATCAAACAATGCTTTATACTCATCAACAAATAGCAACCCTACATACCTAAATACTTTTGCATTTGGGTAAGCTTGCTACCATATAAACAAGCAAACCAACCTATTAGATCCTACATACAAAGATATTACCTATCAATAACAAAATTTTAGATTAATTACCTTTAGGTTTCGTTTGGTTTGTGGGATGGGGATGAGAAAAAGGGAATATTCCAAAAATATTCCCTTTTCTCTTGTTTGTTTTAAGGGAAATAGAGATATGGGATGACAGATCCCAAAACCGTGGAATCGGGGTCGCACCACCTTCTTAACCACTCCCTTCCTCCCTCTCCTCTCTTCTTCTATTTCTTCTTTTGTGTTTTGTGTTTTGCAGCACTATTCATCATCTTCTCGACAACGAACACAGGAAATACCAACGGCGATGACCA